CTAATTGTCATAAGTAGATTCTCCCGTTACTTTGTTGAATAGAAATGACAAGAGCAAACATTCCTTCTTGTCTTGTTCCAGATCTTAGTAGGAGAGCATTTTCTCTTAGTAGTATGACATTAGGTATATGTTGTATATAAATGCTACTTACCAGGTTAAGGGTAGATATTTGCTTCTATTTATAGTATGTTGAGTATTTCCATCATGAAATGCTTTGCATCAATTGAGATAATAATTATTTTGAGTTGTTAAATCAACCTTGCATTATATTGATAAATTTTAATTGACCATTGATTATGACATGAGGGGTCTTCAAAAGTCTGTAGGAAGAATGGAATTGAAAGCTAAAAACTATACATTTTATTTCTCAGCATTAATTCATCAAGTTCAAGACAGTTTTAACAGTGAATGTATCAGTCATTTGTTCTTGTTGTTAAGTACCATCGGGCCGGTTCCAATTCATAGTGACCCTGTATAGGGTTTAAAAGGAATGACTAGTGAGCTTGAACCACCAGCTTTTCTGTAAACACTTGAGTGCTTATCCTATAGTGCTATAGGATAACCACTGGGCTGCTCACCATAAGGCTGGCAGTTCAAAACAACCAGCTGTTATCTAGGAGAAAAATAAGGTTTTCTACCTGTACTTTATTGGCTACACAAAGGCTTTCGATTTTATGGATCATGACAAACTATGGACAACATTGTGAAGTATTAGTACTCCTGAACACTTACTTGCGCTCATGATGAATCTGTACCTGGATCAAGAGGCAGTTGTTCAAACAGAAGATGGGAACACTGAATGGTTTAAAATTAAGAAAGGTGTGCAACAGGGTTGTATTTTTTCACCATACTTATTCAACATGTATGCTGAGAAAATAATCCAAGAAGCTGAGTTATATGAAGAAAAATATGACATCAGGATTGGAGGAAGACTCATTAACAACCTGTGATATGCAGATGATACAACCTTACTTGCTGAAAGTGAAGAAGAATTAAAATACTGGTGAAGATCAAAGAGCACAGCCTTCAGTATGGATTGCATCTCATTGTAAAGAAAACAAAAATCCTCACCACTGGACCAATAAACAACATTCTTATCAACAGAGAAAAGATTGAAATTGTCAAGGACGTCATTCTTCTTGGATCAACTATCAACACTCATGGAAGCAGCAGTCAAGAAATCAAACAATGTATTGCATTAGGCAAATCTGCTGCACAAGACCTTTTTAAAGTGATGAAGAGCAGAGATGTCAGCTTGAGGACTAAGGTGTGCCTGACCCAAGCCATGGTATTTTCAATAACCTCTTATGGGTGTGAAAGCTGAATAGTGAATAAGGAAGACCATAGAAGAATTGATGCTTTTAAGTTTTGGTGTTGGAGGAGAATATTGAAAGTGCCATGGGCTGCCAAAAGAATAAACAGATTAGTACTGGAAGAAGTACAGCCAGAGTGCTCCTTAGAGGCCAGGATGGCCAAATTTTGTCTCTCATACTTTGGACATATTGTCAGGATAGACTAGTCACTGGAGAAGGATATCATATTTGGTAAGGTGAAGGGTCAGAGAAAAAAAGGAAGGCCCTCAGCAAGATGGATTGACAAAGTGGCAGCACCAATGGGTTCAAGTGTGGCAACAATTGTGAGGTTGGTCCAGGTGTGGGCAGTGTTTCATTCTGTTGTGCATAGGGTCGCTATGAGTCGGTACTGACTCGATGGCACCTAACAACAATTCCATAATGAGTTATAGCTTTTGAAATCCTATATTGTGTCACGATGAGTTGGAATAGACTCGATGGCAGAAGGAAGAGTAGTTAATACCACTATAATTCAAATTTATGCACCAAACTGTAAAGCAGTGATGATGAAATTAAAGAATTTTACCAACTTCTTCAGTCTGAAATTAATCAAATATGTAATCAAGATGCATTGAAAATTATTGGTGATTGGAATGTAAAAGTGGGAAACACACAGGAAGAATCAATAGTTTGGAAATATGTCCTTGATGCTAGAAACAATGATAGAGTTTTGCAAGGTGAATGATTTATTCATTGCAAATACCTTTTTCCAACAAGATAAAAGATATATGTGTTGTTGTTGTTAAGTGCTGTCAAGTCATTTCCAACCCATAGTGACCCTGTATAGAGTTTCTGAGAAGCAGCTATGACTTGAACTGCCAATCTTGCAGTTTAGACTGACTTTGCAGCCTAGTGCATTAACTCACAGTGCCACCCAAGACTCCAACTATGTATATATGGACTTAACCAAAGGGAATACAAAGGTATCACATTGAGTACATCTGTGGGAAGAGGTGGTAGAAAAGCTAGAACAAGGCTAGGGAGAGACTATGGAACAGACTATCAACTGCTTATATATAAGTGCAGGTTAAAGCTGCAGAATATTAAAACAACTCTATCAGATGCAAACTATGACCCTGAATATATCCCATTTGAATTTAGAGACGATCTCAAGTACAGATTTGATTCATTATACACTAATGATTGAAGACCAGAAGATTGATTCATTATACACTAATGATCGAAGACCAGAAGATGAAATCAAGATCATCAGACAGGAAAAAGCAAAAGGCCATTAAAAAGAGTATAGAAAGAAAAGACCAGAATGGATATCAGAAAACACTTTTAACTTGCTCTTAAGCATAGAGAAGTTAAGCTATTTTAAGAAATTAGTAAATAAAGAGCTGTTGTTATTGTTTCTGTATGTTGTTGAGTTGGTTTTGACTCATAGTGACCTCATATGGATTTCAGAAGAGTAACTGGTGGGTTTGAATCACCGACCTTGTGGTTAGCAGTCCAATGCTTAACCTATATAGCACCATATAAGGACTCTCTCTTTCTGTATACATATATGGATATAAATAAAGTCCTGGTGTGACACTATGGAACAAAGCACCCACAGCCCTGGTATAAAGCAGTTGACCTCAAGGTCAGTTTGAACCACAAGTTCAGAGATTCAAACTCACCAACTGCTCCTTGGAAACCCTATATAGGGTGGCTATGAGTTAGAACTAAGAACAATTCACACCACAAACAAATATATATATGTAGATAGATAGATAGATAGATAGATAGATAGATAGATAGATAGATAGATAGATAGAACTCCTGTTGTGGCGCACTGGACTGTGAACCACAAGGTCAGCAGTTTAAATCTACCAGCTGTGTCTCGGAAACCCTATACAGGTTTGTTATGAGTTGAAACTTAAGCAACAGCACATAACAAAAAACAGCATATATATTCAACATATTTATGTAACTGTTATAATGTTAGTTGTTTAATTTAATGGAATATTTAATAGTCATATAATAAAATTATTTCATTTTTATTTCTCTTTGTTTTATTTTTGATTAAAATCTGATATATATTTAAGACAGTTTTGAGAATCTTTTCAAATATTTTAGGAATCTTTAAGCACTTTGTATATATTTAATAAACTGATCTAGGAATCATGTATACTTTATACTATGATTCTAATTGCTATACACTAAAGATTGGAATTCTACATTCTCAGACCTCGTGAAACTATTGACACTTTAAGTCCTAGAATCTTGTGTTCATTCCTTCATGCAGTGCTCATGCTCTTCTTCCCAGTAACATGTGGAACAAGTCATATTAATAGAAGTTTTGCACTGAGTTCTCTCCAGCAAAACTTGCTACTTTTTTTTTTTTTTTTTTTTTTGGTGGATGAACACTCTGATGTCTTTTCTTAGGTCAAAATATATCACGTAATGAAATAGAGTATATTTATTCACTGTGCTCATCTTTCTTACAATAGTTATATTGAAAAAAGGATAAAAACTAAAATTAGACAATTAGGAAGAACATTTATTATAAGGAGAAATAGAGAGTGAAACCAATGGATAAGCAAAAATGGAAACACAATGTTTAATTGAACCATAATTGCTCCTTTATGAATTACTTACTATAATAGAGACACAAAAATATCTGAAATAAATGCATAACTCTTTTAAAAAGTGTGTTTTTATGTTATATTTAAAGTCATTTGTGGAAAATAACACACAATTTTCTATTTGTCAGACTCATAATTTAAGGAAATTTTTTTATTTGATTTATATTCTTTTACTTTCTTAAAATAAATATAAAATAAGTCTAAGACTCTGGAACAAATACCACAAACACCTTTTAAATACATAATTTAAAGCACCAGAAATAGTCATTGAATAAAGAAGGTCTTTATATAGTACATTTATCTTTTCCACCTTAGAGGCAATTGTTAGAGTCAAATGAAATAATAGATCTCAGAACTTTGACAAGTAGGAAGTGCTATTCAAATGTTAAATAATAAGATTTTATACTATTTCTGAAGCAGTGTATTTTCATAATACAAGGCTTTTAGATGGTAACATAAATTTTCTTTTAAATGCTTTTTTAGGAACCAGTTGGAATGCATAATTTACTAATGGAAAATTTAAAAATACAACTATTTTGGGAAAAAAAATTGTGATATATGATGCCATAACAAAGCTCTGTTTTTAACAATCCCTGTATTTATTTTAACTCCAATTAGGAAAGTTCACATGTATAGAAGTGCGCTTTCATCTTGAACGACAAATGGGATACTATCTGATCCAGATGTACATTCCCAGCCTCTTGATTGTTATCCTCTCCTGGGTATCATTCTGGATCAATATGGATGCAGCTCCAGCCAGAGTAGCTTTGGGAATCACCACTGTGCTGACTATGACCACACAGAGCTCAGGATCACGAGCTTCACTACCAAAGGTAAGTGCACTAAATGGGCATATTAGGACACATGCATTTGTGTATATACTTATATGAAAATTATTGTTAATTTATGACAGATCTTTTTCAATAGCATTTATTATCCTTATCCATTACTTATTTTTGCAGTGTTATACAAGGTTAAGTCAACAAGCATTTCTGCAAAATCATGTTGCCGTAGTTTACTACCATCAAGGCACTTCCAATTCATAGCGACCTATATAGGGCTTCCTAGAAGTGACTGGTGGGTCTCAACAGCAGACCTTGCTGTTAGCAGTCCAGTGTTTATCTTACAGTGCAACCAGGATTCCACAAAACCATGTCAACATTAATTAAACAAAAATATCAAAATGTGAAGCCATTTCTTCTCAGCATATCATTCCTCAAGGTCTATATGTTTCTGAAGGCAGTTGATCCAGAAATAGAATTGTTATTGTTAGGTGCCATCAAGTTGGTACTGACCCATAACAACCTTATGCACAGCAGAATGAAATACTACCTGATCCTGGGCCAACCTCACTACTGTTGCCACGCTTGAGTCCATCGAAGCTGCCACTTGGTCAATCCACTTCATTGGAGGATTTCCTCTTTTTCTCTGTTCCTCCACCTTACCAAATATCCTTCTCTAGCGACTGGTCCCTCCTGACAATATGTTCAAGGTATGAGAGACAAAGTTTGGCCATTTTGGCCTCCAAGGAGCACTCTGGCTGCACTTCTTCTAAAATGGATCTATTGGTTCTTTTGGAAGGCCATGGCACTTTCAATATTCTCCTACAACACCATAAGTGTAAAGCATCAATTCTTCTACAGTCGTCCTCATTCACTGTCCAGCTTTCGCATGTATATGAGGTTATTGAAAATATCATGGCTTGGGTTTAAGCATAACAACGATTATGAAGATGGTGCAGGACCAGCAATGTTTCATTCTGTTGTGCATAAAGTTTTATGAATGAGAACTCACTTGATGGCCCCTAGTCACAATAGCAACAAACATAATACTCCATTGTTTGGACTGCTATCATTTACTACTCACTTTTAAAAATGACACTGCAATGAACAACTATATCATTCACATCTATATTATGAATGTCTACATTATGAATGTTGGTATTATGAATATATGTTCTTTTTTGCATATTTTGTATTCTTAGTACAAATTCTTAGAGCAGGCATTGTTGCATTGGTTCCTGTATGCAATGACATATAATGCCAAATTTTACTTCTGAAGGAAATTATAGCACTTACACTCCTAAAAGCATTGTCTGAAAGTGCCCACACAGTACTGCATCCAAGAACAAATATGGTATTCATAAATCTAGTATTTCTGATTTTCTTGGATCTTAATTTGCCATAGGTCAATAGAAAGGAGAACTTAAGTAGTTCCAGTATTCCTTCCACAAGGTTTATAAAAACTCATTTTTTCTTTTCACAAGCTACACAAGAAACACAGCAAGCTATTTTTGCCATTTAACAATATAGCTATAGTTAATTATTTTCTTTTCATACATGACTTTTCATGGAGTTCTTACATGGTGTTGTAGGGTAATAAATGGAATACTGACCACAAAGTCAGCTATTCAAACCTACCAGTCACTCCTCTGAAACCCTATATAGGGTTGTTATGAGTTGGAACTGACTCGATGACAACAACAAAATACCTATCTATTATCTCAACACTTGGTATATTGTATCTTTTATGAATTTCAGGTAGGGATCTGAATAAAGAAATCAAGTGAATGAAAATGCAATTTTAATTTAAAAAATATATTCTGAGAGGAAACATTTCTAATGACCTCTAGATATTTTTTTTCACAATTTCATCTAAGAGTCAAACATGAGAAAAAGAGGAGACAATGTTAATACCCTAGTAATTGAAGTGGAAATCAGAGATAATTGTTGAAAATCCCTGACTCTTTTGGATCCCACTGTCTTTCATGACTGGAGGTATTTGTGAGGTTCATCTCTTGAAATTAAAGTCTTTATGTGAAAGAAACTGTGTTAGAAACATCATTTATTGACAGAGGGAAATGAGTATAAAAATATGTATAAACATGACATTTGTTGGTCTCTGACAAAGCACTAACATGATTCTGTGCTGAAGAAAGTTCCTTTTGCCTTTCCAATATCATCTTCATTCCACCTCAACAACAGTTTTTCAAATGTTATTTATTTTTTTAAAAGATCTGCTTATTTTTGTCCCAGTTCCTTTATTTCTCTGTCTTTACATCTTAAATTAAATTCAGAATGATTCTGAGATGTGCATTATGTTTTTGTCTGTATTGTTTGGTTCCAAGTAACAGGCTAGAATTGAACGATAGGGTGTTTTGTTGTTTGTTTGTTTGTTTTTTTTAACTGTAATATTTATTTCTACAGATAGTCAAATATTTTATCCTTGGGTGTGTTTGAACTGTCAACCTTTTGGTTAGTAGCAAGTGCTTTATCATTGTAGCACTAGGACTCCATGTTTCTGATAAACGTTACAAATACCTGTGTCAGTCTGTGATACTACTGTGTTGACTGGATGTTTTTATGATACTGAAAGCTACACAGACAGTATTTTAAATAACAACAAGTCAGTCACAGAGTACATATTTTAGTGGAATTCCCAGACTAAGAAAAACTATGATAACAACTTAGTGTTCTACTTTAGAAAATAAGTCAGTAGAAATCCTATGGATCAAAACAAAATATTGTCTCATATGGACGATGAGCACCCACACCCCTCAAATTGGAAAACATTCAAAATGCTAATGGTTGCAAGAATGAACTCAAGCATACCAATGATTATGAAAATGGATAAGGACTGACCACTGTTTCATTCCAAATTTCTTGGCATAGATGAGTGAATGCCTCCAGTGCTTCAACAGTTTGTTGAAAGATTTCAGTTTGTATTCCATCAATTCTACAGCCTTCTTAATTAATTGTCCTGCTTTTTGCCATACAAGCTGCCTTTCTCACTTTTTCCAGGCATGTAACATGGTGTACTTCCTCTTTCTTTTGTAGCTAGGGTAGAGTGTGCTTGTTTTTGTTAAGTGATATTGAATCTGTTCTGACTCATAATTACCCTGTAAAGAGTTTCCATGGAGTGGCTGGTAGGTTTGAACTGCCTACCTTGCAGTTAGCTGCCCAGTGCTTATCCTACTGTGCCATATCAATATTCTAGACTCTGAGTAGTTCTGGCTAAGGAGTTTTAACTTGTGCACATCCTTCCTAAGGCATTTATTACTCACCTGAGATTCACCATGCATTAGTTTTCTTCTGCCATGGTCACTGAAAGTGTTCCTAAAATTGGCTGCTCCATCATTCAGTGATCACAAGGGAGAATGATAATGACAATACAACTTCTGGGAGCCCCAATCTAAGAAGACGCGTAGTGTAAGCAAAAAATCAAACCTTTGTTGTCTCAATTTAGTGTAATTTTGGAGCTGTTTATGTTTATTATTAGCTCCAGATCCTAGCTCCACTTCTTCCTCTATAGCCATCCCATCTATCAGCTGAGAGATATTGTTAGGTATTAGTGACTTGATCCCATTCAAAGTGACCCCCCCCCCCCAGACCAGTGTAGAACTACAATGTAGGGATATTTAGGCTGAAATCTCTATGGGAGCAGATCATCATGTCTTTCTCTTGTGGAGCTTCTGGGTAGCTTCAGATTGTCAACCTTTTGCTTAGCAGTCAAGTTCTTATTCCTTGCACCACAAGAGCCCCTTATGGGAGGGTTGTTGTTGTCATTGCTAAGTGCCATTAAGTCTGTTCTGACTCATAGTGACACTGTATAGGGTTTCCTAGGTGTGAATGATGAGCTGAACTGCTGACCTCGTGGCTGATATTGACCCTGCAGTACAGCACATTGACCTACAGTACCACACCAGGACTCCACTGGAGAGTTACATGCAGGAAATTTATGCTTATATTAGCTTCCTGATTGTGACTGTTTTTCAGGGGCAGTGGAACTGTCCATCTTTATAAACAGCATAGTTTTTGTTGTGAAGTGCCTGACCCATAGTGACCCGGTATATGGTTTCCAAAGAGCAGCTGGTGAGCTTGAACTACCGAGCTTACAAGTTCAAATGGCTTTGAAATCTGGTGCATTAACCCACTGTACCACACCACGACTCCTAAAACAGCATGGTGGATAGTAAGAAATCCAATTATAACTTTTTTTTTCTTATTTGTAAAAAAGCAGGCAGGGCTTCCTTATTTTTAATGATAATATTATAAAATATAAAGAATGCATATTTTTTGTGGAGGAAACAACATGATTTTATGAGTCTATAGGATACACCATACTTTTTAACCATTTACCTAAATTATACAATTTGTCCTTTAGGAAAAAGCAAAGTCTCACAGAAACGTAGCTCTGATACTCAATAATTATCAAGCTGATCTCTTTCTAGATTATCATATAAAAAGTAGACAGTGGTCTTCTAGTGCACAAAAATATATGCTATATTTAATGTAAGAATACTGTTGAAGGACTTTGTGTTTCAAAAGATACACGCTGATGTGAACTAATTCCAGTTATAGTTTTCTTTCCTAAATAAATACATATAGTGCATACATCTCTGCGCAACACATGCAGTGATTATCTTACCTTTTCCATGTTGTCTGCTAGGATTGCCATATTTCAGGAGCAGAGCTAGCAAATATGAAGATGTGGTAAAGTAATTTAATTTAGTTAGTTCTTCGAGGCGTAGACTTGGTAATTCCTACCAAAGACTTTGTGGAGTCATGCTTATTCGGTGTATTTTCTCTTTTCCTATTAGGTTTGGGTAAAAGAAGTTTTGAATGCTGATAGTATTTTATGGTTTCATTGTGAGTGATTGTTAACAGGGTTAATTGTGATTGTAAATACTTGGAATTCTAATGTGAGATTGATCAATTTTGTCCTCCTACTGGTATAAAATCAGTCATCTCAGAAGCAGAAATCAGAGGATCTCACTTCAATTAAGAAAAAAAAAAAAAAAAAAGCCAGCAGCACAGCATATCCTTTGGACCCT